TGGTACAATACCGTGGCCAGCCCGGTCGCCAGATTTGAATCCGTTAGATTTTTTTTCCCTGGGGAACTGTAAAAGAAAAAGTGTATTTCAAACCGATTCAAAATGTAGCTGAGCTACGGCAAAGACTATTGGAAGCAGCTGAGTTTGTTAATAACCGTGGATTCGCTCGTTTAATAACCCGATCTTTTTTAAGAAGATGTCGAGCGTGTATTGCGGCTGAAGGAAAACAGTTTGAGCATTTGCTGTAAAGGTAAATCATCATCAGCAGCATTTTGACGCCCACTGTTGTGCAAACAGTTATCCTTAAGGGTCCTTGTGCGTTTTCATAATCGCTGTTTAAGTAGGAAATTTTGAAATCAGTTTTTCTTCAAATAAAAATTGTGCAGAAGTTAACGAGTAAGCTTCTAAGTGTTGGGATCCTTATTAAATGCGCCAACTTTTAAGGTTACATGCCAAACTCTCGTAGTACATTTTTTCCAGTACAGCCAGTTAAAGTTGAGCACAGTTTTACTTTGGAATACTTGGTTGGGAAATAAGTGGCAATTTTTCCTGAACGAGAAAAGTTGGCAGTAAGGTTGAGACACCAGTTTGAAGATGCATTATTCATCATTACATTGTAAAAATAAAATCCAAAAAAACTTAATATTTGTAGTAACAGGAGTTGACAGAGTGCCGTAGCGTGTGAAATTTCTATATTTTTTTCAAAGACCTATAATTTTCAAAACACATACATGAAATTTTTTTAAATATTTTTCTGATAGCTGTTATGACTTTGGCTATCACCCGGTTTCGGCTTGACGTCGACTTCTGGGACACCCTGTATATGCATTCGCAGTATCTTCATTAATTTGTAGCACTGCATGTACGAATTTGCTTAGTCCATTGAAAAGGATCCAAAATAAATTAAGCTTATTTAGCATTTACCATATACGGAACCAACTGAGACATTATATCGATCAAAAAATTTATGAAACTTTGATTCTGTTTATTATGATAATCTGTGGGTTTTTACACAGCAGCAAACGCGCAGGCAGAAGCCTAAGTAATAATAATAATATTGATTACCCTCATTAAACAGTATATAAAAGTTAACAAACAAAAAGCCTTAAGAGAATAAAGGGCTACATCAGCTTGCCCCTTAAAGAAGCAGCTGCTAGAGCCAAAAAAAACTAACAAATTTAAAGAATTCTATAATAATGCAAATTGCTATTAAGACATTGATAATTAATAATGTTTTGATATTAAGAAATATAGCTAAGTATTGTAAGTAGAGAAATGGAAATTTAGAGTGAGAAGAGAAAGCGAGGGGAAAGAGAAGAAGAGAAAAGGGGGAGCAGGAGAAATGTTTTCTATGATATCACTTTTAAGGTTCATCTGAAATGTAGCTACCGAGAGAGAAAAATCTTCAATTTTGAATGTATTCACCAAAAAGGCAATTTGATATGACAGTGATTTCTTAAATGATTCTTTATTGTGTGATGGTATTGTAATCAAATTCAATCTTCTAATGTTTAAATTATCACTGGACAACAAATTTTAGTTTTTTAATTGTATCTTGTGGGAAAAGTGCACTTCTTTGTTAATTTTGGGGCGCTGAATCCAAAAATGACAATGAAATAAAAAAATTAGTTGCGGTTTAGAAAAAAACTTTTTATTTTTAAGGATATATTAAAAAAAGTAACTAGATTCATATACTTATAAGAATCACTATATGCGCTGTCTTTTTGCTGTTCTTTTATGGATCGTTTCTGGAGCATCTCTACCAAGAGTCCAACAGTAGTCTGCAAGCATGGAAGGATTCCACTTTCCCTGGTGCCTTTTTTCCATTGTTGAAATATCCTGATCAAAACGTTTGCCGTGCTCATCACTTACGGCTCCGCAATTGTCAGGAAAAAAGTCCAGGTGTGAGTGTAGGAAATGTATCTTAAGAGACATATTACAGCCCATCTTTTGATACGATCACAGCATATTTTTGACAAGGGTTTTATAGTTGTCAGCTTTTCTATTTCCCAAGAAATTGGTGACCACCAGACGGAAATCATTCCAAGCAGTTTTTTCAATACCTGTTAAAGTGTTTTCAAACTGTGTATCTTTCAAAATATTTCGAATCTGTGGCCCAACAAAAATACCTTCTTGAACCTTTGCCTCACTTAGTCTTGGAAATTTCTGACGAAGGTATTGAAAAGCTGACCCATCTCTATCTAATGCCTTGACAAAGTTTTTCATTAGAACCAACTTGATATGCAGTGGTGGTAATAAAGTTTTTTTCGAATCTACTAATGGCATATGCTGTACATTTTTTTGACCTGGCTCTAGGAATTGACGAACAGGCCAGTTTTGTCTGGTGTAATGAAATGCCTTTGCCCGACTGTCACATTCACACAAAAAACAGCAAAACTTTGTGTAGCCTAGCTGCAGCCCAAGTAAAAGTGCAACAACTTTCAAATGGCCACAAATATGCCATTGGTGCTCATCGTATTTTATGCATGTCAATAGGTACTTCATACTGTCATATGATTCTTTCATGTGAACTGCATACCCTACAGAAAGAGATGGTAAAATATTTCCAATATGCAATAACACTGCCTTTAAACTCAATGTTGAACTGTCTATAAACAATCTCCATTCTTCTGGGTTATAGTTTATATTTAAAGCCGCCAGTAAGCCGTTAATGTTACTGCAGAAAACCAAGTTATTCTCCATATTGAAAAATGGTTCTAAGTCTTTGTGGCGTTTACGAAAAACACATACCGAAACATCGTCTTCTAACAAGTTCCACTGCTGCAGTCTTGATCCAAGTAACTCTGCCTTACATTTTGGAAGTTCTAAATCACTTACAAGATCATTTAATTCTGACTGTGTTATTTTGTGCGGTTGGTGGCATGACGTGCTCGGTATAAAATGACGAATCACTCGATCGCCATGATCTGATTCGTTTTCTGATTCGCAAGTGTAGGATTCTGGGGGTTTTGGAATAGGATTTTCGTCACTGTGAGGCACAGGTCTCATCGCAGATGGTATGTTTGGGTAGTTAATAACCGATTTTTTTTCTTGGACATACCTGTGGCTTGTCCAACACAAGGTACCATGCAAAAGTAACAATCATTAATATGATTTGTAGGCTCTCTCCAAACCATTGGGACAGCAAAGCGCATAGACCGTTTTTTGCCATTTAACCAGCTCCTCAGACTTGAAGCACATGTATTACAGCAGATGTGGGGTGCCCACTGTTTGTCTTGATCACCTAGTTTACAACCGAAATAAAGCTGATATGCCTTTGTTATTAGTGGAGAAATAGACCGTCTCTGAGACGCAAAAGTCACATCACCACACACGTAACAAAACTGATCTGGATTGTTTACATACTTTCGAGTCATCTTGCATGAACGCTGTCAGCCAACTGAGGAAAAATAGCTAATATAAAACAATATAATGTACACGTATGTATAACGTAACACAATCATGCCGATTACATCATCTTTCCTTGCCGAATATAAAAATGTAGCACGTGCATTCTTGTGAATTACAGTATATTAACACTGTCACAGCAGGAACACATATAATTATCGTATCTCTAAAACTTGAACTAATATTGAAAAAATAAGTTTAATTCCGGTTTTAGCACATTCAAAATAGTAATATTGAGTGTAGGAAATGTATCTTAAGAGACATATTACAGCCCATCTTTTGATACGATGACAGCATATTTTTGACAAGGGTTTTATAGTTGTCAGCTTTTCTATTTCCCAAGAAATTAGTGACCACCAGACGGTAATCATTCCAAGCAGTTTTTTCAATACCTGTTAAAGTGTTTTCAAACTGTGTTTCTTACAAAATATTTCGAATCTGTGGCCCAACAAAAATACCTTCTTTAACCTTTGCCTTAATTCCGGTTTTAGCACATTCAAAATAGTAATATTTTGTTGATTTTATTTAGGATATTTTTTGGCTGTTGATCAGTGTTATGTACATCAGTCCGGTAACTAATGTTAAGTGAAGATAAGGGGGGCTTTTATATCTTATAATCTTGTAAAAAAAGGTAGCAGAGTGCAAGGTACGCCTCGGAGCCGTATTCAACCATCCCACGTCAGGTAGTTTGTGGGATATTCTTTGTCTAGCCCTTATGCCAAATATCAGTCTCAGACACGAATTCTGAGCTTTTTGAACCCGTTTTAGTTCAACACTATCAAGAAATGAGATGTACCATATCAGCAAAGTTGAAGTGGGACAACACTAAAGCTTCGCAGAGCGTGGCTTTAGTATTTTGTGATAGGTAATGTCTATGGGGTAAATTATTTTTAACATTGAATATGCTTTCCTTAGGCACAGAGTAATGTGCTCTCTAAACTTAAGTTTAGAGTCAACCATTAACCCAAATCCTTCGCGGAATCCCTAAATGATATTATATTGTCGCCCTAGTTTGAGCTTAATATTATTTTCTAATATGTTTCTGTAGGAATCACTATAAAACAATATAGCCGTCGATTTACTAGGGTTTATCTTTAACAACTGATCTTCAGAGGTTTTGAGAAGGCTATTCAAGTGGGTATTCAGTCGGTTTGTTATAAGTTCTGACAGATCAGGTTCAAAAAAGGGAATCATTTGACTGTCGTCAGAATGCCTAGGGCACCGTGGCTGCTATGAGCGGCTTAAAGAAACTTTACTAATCCAAGCAGTGATAACCTCAAGATCGCTCGTCAGAGTAAGTCGTTGCTAGTCTTATGTTATCCAGCTCATCATCAGCAAACCTGTGGATTGGATTGATCGTACAAGAATTGATATGTAAGAGAAAGACCCGTCAATTATGACGGATATCTTGCGGCCCCACAGAAAGTCAGTCATCCATCTGGAAAGCTTTTCTGGGAGGCCATAGGATGGAAGTTTGAATAAGTTGTCGTGCCACAGCTGATCGAACGCTTTCGTGATATCACGAGTAACGACATGAGCCTCAAGATGAGACTTTATGAGTTTGAATTAATGAAAGTGAAATTGCACCTCACCACATAATGTAAACGTTCGAGTGTTGTCAATCTTCTTGCAGAATCCTAAATCGGTGATCTTCAGATACCCGTCTACGTCTATGAGGATGTTCTCAGGTTTCAAGTCCCTATAAACGACTCCTAGGGCGTGCATGTACTCAAAGGCCATTATTACTTGTGCCGCGTAGAATTTACTCAAGCTTTCTTCGAATTTTTTCATACTTCGCAGATGGTAGAACATTTCACCTCCTGCTATGAACGGCATCACTATGAATATGTACACATTGTTCTGGAACAAAAGGAGAACGGAGGAATACTGCAAGGTCCCAGGGCTGCCAAGCATAACTTACTTTCCGGAAGACAAAACGTGGGCCAATGTATTGCGTTTGTACAGGGTGTTTCAGTTTATTGTTGCATAACTTTGAGATTCGATAGAACTTTTAAAGTTAATGCATAAAGTCTATATAAACATGGGTCGAAAAATGCGTGGCTTCCGAACAATATTTGATGTATAACAGTGAAAATTGGTATACAAGGGTTTTTTGGTACGACAAAACGAACCATGGGCATAGTTTTACTGTAGCCGCTAGAGGGCGCTCTCTAATGTACCTGTAGTGTATTAAAATGACCGAAAATATTTTTTCTTAGTACGATTTTTTGCTTTTTGAATAATAAAAATGATTCTTAGCACTTTTCTGCATAAAAAAGCTCTCATGTGAGTTTTCGTTATAGTTAGCCGTTTTTGAGATATTGCGATTTTTAAGGTTCGATGCATTTTTAATTATTTATGGGAAAATAATATTTTTTTTACATTTTCGATTTGGGCATTACAAGTAATTAAGATGATCGTTTAGATTGTGTTTTTAAACACAGCGATAATTCCTAACTCCAAATAAACACAAAAAAACAGAATATAAATTTGTTTAATTTTCCAATATTATTTTTAACAAATTAAATTAATTATTTACACCTAAAATGCTATTGGATAGTTAGGACAAACATACAAAACCTAAAATAGTTGCTCGGAATGTAAACCCAATTGTTCAATACACAATTCACATCTACGAATGATCGAACGTGGTATAGCATTATTCAAATAAGGCCTTATTTCATCACATGCATTCCTGATTCTGTCTATTAGCATATCTCTTGTGGTTACGGGAGTCTGGTAGACTTTTTCTTTTAGAAATCCCCACACAAAGAAATCTAATGGAATTAGGTCAGGGGATCGTGGAGGCCAAGCGACTGGTCCTCCACGGCCGATCCATCTTTCTGGATAATTTTCGACCAGCCAGTTTCTAACTATTCTCGAATAATGAGCTGGACAACCATCAAGCTGGAACCAGGCCAATCTTCTTAAATCTTACATAACATCATCCCACACATTTGCATGTTCAGCCTTTAAAAATTCCAAGAAGGTCGCAGCATTTAACCTTGCAGGCAAAAGGTAGGGTCCAATTAGTCGATTACGGTAGATACCAATCCACACGTTCACACTAAATTCATGCTGAAAATTTCTTTCCCGAACTGCATGCGGATTTTTATGCGACCAAATATGTTGATTATGAAAATTTATCACTCCACGTCTAGTGAAGCATGACTCATCGGTCCATAAAACGTTACTTGAAAACTCCCTATTATTATCAGTTCTATCAAGAATCCACTGACAACAAGTGATTCTTCGTTCTCCGTCCCCTGGCTGTAGTCCTTGCACAGGTTGCAAATGGTAAGGACGTCTATGGTCATTTCTAAGAACACGGTGAACATGGCTTGCTGAAATTCCCAAGGCACCAGAAACTCTCCGAAAACTTGTGGTCGGATCTCTATCAAACTCACGCATAATCATACGGGTAAATCTGCGCTGACGAACATTTATGTTTTGATCCCTTTGGAGATTTCCAAAACCATTTTCAATTATTTGGCGATGCACTCTTACAAATACTGAGCGAGTTGGATGTCGTCTGTTTGGAAATCTTCGTGCGTATTCTCTGGCTGCTTCTGCTGCGTTTCCATTTACAAAGCCATCCACAAAATGAATATCCGCTAACTCTTGATCGGAGAATAAAAATGGCATTTTTATAAAACTTACAAAAAAAAACGGGTAAAAGAAACTAAATTTCGTGCATTCACAATTGCAAAAAAACGTTTCAGGTTTCAACAGACAACAAAACTCACTGTCAACTAATTGACGTTTAACCTTATTCTGCTTTCAATTTCAAAAATATTTGCAGGCACAGCCTACTTCTAAAAATTATCGACATACTGACTTTTTGACGTTATTTTATCAAAAATAATTAAAAATGCATCGAACCTTAAAAATCGAAATATCTCAAAAACGGCTAACTATAACGAAAATTCACAAGAGAGCTTTTTTATGTTGAAAAGTGCGAAGAATCAGTTTTTTTATTCAAAAAGCAAAAAATTGCACTAAGAAAAAAGTTCCGGTCATTTTAATACACTACAGATACAGTAGAGAGCGCCCTCTAGCGGCTACAGTAAAACTATACCCATGGTTCGTTTTGTCGTACCAAAAAACCCTTGTATACCAATTTTCACTGTTATACATCAAATATTGTTCAAAATATTTAAAAAAAACTATTTTAGAAAGTAAATTTAAACACCCTGTATTTTGGAAGCCACGCATTTTTCGACCCATGTTTATATAGACTTTATGCATCAATTTTTAAAGTTCTATCGAGTCTTAAAGTTATGCAACAATAAACTGAAACACCCTGTATAACGTGAACCACATACGTTCAAAAAGTATCGCAAATTTTGAATTTTCGCGGGCTACGTATGTTCGATTTTCCAAAAAATGGATCAAAGAATTTGTATTAAATTTTGTGCAAAAAACAACTTGAAATGCGTAGACATATACTAAGTGACATATAAATCCGAACACCCAGTTTAAATGGTTTTATTTTAATAAAATTTTGTATAAGCACTTAATGAAGCATAATAAGTAAATGATAAAAATTTCAAAATGCTTGCACTGCTTTAAAGCCCTTTGACCTTTAATAATGTGTGGATGCACCCTGATGTGCTACGCATTCTCCAACGCGCCTAGGCATGCTTCTGATCAGGTGGTCAATGTCCTCCTGTGGTATCTCATTCCAGGCAACCACCAACTCCTCTCGAAGTGCTTCTAGAGTCTGAGGAGGACGTTGCAAATTGAGCAATCTCCTACCCATCATATCCCACACGTGCTCAATTGGGGATAAGTCGGGAGATCTTGGTGGCCAGGGTAACAATGTGACATCATTATGTTGAAAGAAGTCTATTGTGACTCTTGCAACATGTGGTCGGGCATTATCTTGTTGGAAAGTTGGATCTGCCAGGGTGTCAAGATAGGGAAAAAGATGGGGTTCTAGAACTTCGTGGATATTACGCTGCGCGTTCATGTTACCTTTGATGAAGATTAAAGGGGACCTGGAACCATAAGCTATAGCACCCCAAACCATAACTCCAACAGTGTGATGAACATGTCTTTCAACAAAAAACTGTGGATTCCTCCTTTCACCACGTCGCCTTCTAACCCTGGCACGACCATCGTGCATGCCTAAACAAAATCGAGACTCGTCACTAAAGACAATACTGTTCCATTCCTGATGCCAGAGTGACCGTTGTCTGCACCACTCAAGGCGATTACGTCGGTGTTCTCGAGTTAAAGGGAGGACCCAGTGTGGCCGGTATGAAAACAAGCCAAAATTTCTCATTCGTCGGTAAACACTTCGCATGCCAATAGGTCTTCCGTGTTCTGCAAACCATTCATTTGCAATGGACCTGGTAGTGGAGAAACGGTCCCTTAAGGCCAATAATCTTAGGCAGCGATCTTCACGGTCTGTTGTTCTACGGCGGCGTCCAGTGGCCCCTTGCTCTTTGCGTACGGCCTTCTCGAAGCCATTCCTGACAACACCTAACCACAGTGTCTACACTTCTTTGCACTCTAACTGCAATTGCCCGAAAAGAAAGTCCAGCTTCCCGAAGTCCCACTATACGGCCCCTATCAAACTCACTAAGTTGACGAAATCGTACAGGTCTCCGTACTCTAGGCATCGTAACCGATCGTGAAGGATGTCAAGAACCAAAATCTGCCAACGTTGATTCTTTACTGCGGCTGAAATACTCATTTTTAGAGCGTTAGTGAATTAAAAAAAAGCATTATAAAACCCGGAATGTCCAACTGATAAGGCTGAAAATTTTTTCACTTGTTATTTACAGTAAGATAAATACATTCACCAACTTTTATTAAAATAAAACCATTTAAACTGGGTGTTCGGATTTATATGTCACTTAGTATATAAAGATTTTGAGCAAATTCGGTTTCTTTCGTCTACTCGAAACTGCGAAAAGTTCTGGGTTACCTAAATGCGCAACTTTGCCCTCATTTAACCGACTTAGCATATCTTACTATTTTTAAGATCCCAATGATGAGAGTCTAATCTGAAACACCCGGTATATCTTTACCTACCTTAAAAAAATACATTAGACCGACAATAAATGGAAATTTGAAAGCTTCTAAAAACCTTATTTCGCTGATTGTATGCAACAACTGTTTGTTCTTGATTATGTTGATCTTCTCCATAATCTAGAAAAATATTCTTGTATGAGACAGTGTCTAGATCCATTTATTAGCCTTGTTCCAGCAAAATGTTTGATTCACGTTCAGAACGTTATATTTCTTTCTCGGAACATCCAGTCATATCAAGGGCGTACCCCAAAATGGGAGGGGGGCACCTTTAAAAAATGTTTTGGTGGAAGTGCCACAAATCATATCTACATAACTATGTTTGATATTTTTTCTATTTGCAGTTCATTTATTATAGGATCTTCCACGACGATTTGACAGTTCATTTGAATACGGATTTACTAGAATTACTTTGTTGAAACATTCAAACAAGCCAAATAGGATCCCTTTTGTGTGAATGGAGGCAAAGTTGTGTATTCAATATTCATAAACAGGGTGTCCGCAAAGTTGGGGTTTTCCTTTTCAGAAACAACTACCCTTGAAATAACAAAGGTAATGTGTAGTGAAACGAGGGCGACCAAGTAAAAAAAAATAAAGGAAAAAGTACTCACTCTCCAGTTGACGAGAAGGGCTAAGTACGTCTCTGCCAGAAATCATACCGCTCCAACAGAACATGAAATCAGCTGATGCGCTACCGAGCAGACGCCGGCGGTGGTGCACACCACGAACAGAGGTAACAAATAAGACGGCGTTGCCGCGTTTTCAGTTTTTAGGTAAACGTACTTTATAGGTATTGTTCGAAGTTATCGCCGTTTGATTCAAAAACACAGGTGCGTGCACGACGTAGCCAAGCATCGGTGCAGGCTTTGAGAATGGAGTCCCTCCCCCGAATGAAAGCACCAGCTTGTTTACTTCTGAGACGAAGTTCGTCAACCGTATGCATTTCAGTTTTGTACACTAAGCGTTTCATTTCTCCCCAAAGAAAAAAATCACATGGTGTTAAGTCTGGAGATCGCGGAGGCCACGCTGCGGGTCCATTACGTCCGATCCACCTATTCGGAAATAATTCATTCAAAAACTCACGCACTTCGCGTCTAAAATGAAGCGGTGCACCATCGTGCAGAAACCACATTGATTGTCTTACACTTAATGGCACATCTTCTAACAAGGAAGGCAAAATGTTGCGTAAAAAGTCTAGGTATTGCATCCCGTCCAATCGATTTGGGAGAATAAATGGTCCAATGAGCATACCGTTCACCATGCCAGCCCAAACATTCACCGAAAATGTTTGTTGAAAATGTGCCCGACGGACAGCGTGCGGATTTTCTACTAACCAAACATGAGTGTTGCGAAAGTTATTCACCCCATTACACGTGAACGTAGATTCGTCTGTCTCCAATATGCACTTCAAAAAGTCCGGATTATTGTCATGTTGATGCAACAACCACTCACAAAACCGCACTCTTGCTGGAAAATCGTCAGGTTGAAGGGCTTGTACACGTTGGACGTGAAACGGATACAGCCCCTCTTCACGCAGCGTTTGCCACACTTTAGTTTTTGATACTTGCACTTCTCTAGCCACGTCTCTAGTGCTTGTTGTTTTTTGAAACGCAATCGATTATACGGGTTCGTTTACGTCTACACGCGTGACCGTAACCGTCGGTTGAAGGTTGCATTCTGACCTGACACACTGACCCCGACCCAGTTCTGTCGTCGGGTTGAGCTAGTGTCCTAGTACCACTCGGGGATGTCGCGGGTCGCGGCTACAGGACGGTATTCAGATATTTTTGATGCTGCAGAGCCCTTTATCTCAGTTCCCTTAAGACATTGGTGTATATGGTACTAAGAAAAATTGCTTAGGTTTTCAAGATCTACACGTCGTGTAAAGGAAAACCCCAACTTTGCGGACACCCTGTATTTTAGAAATTGCATTTGAAAAGTTTTGACGCTTCAAGAATCTCCAGAGATACACGGAAAAGGGAACGAATTTTTCCAAAATAAACTTCATATTGATACTGCCACTTTTTGATCTCTGCAAGGTGGCATAAATAGAACATTGATATTATTTTTCGTCATTTATCCCCTGTCTCAGCTTCGATTTTTCTTATACCATTTTTGCATGGGCGAATAGCTTTTAATTTTTATTTCAAATATAAGTATATCATTGAAACTCATATTACAGAAGATATATATTATATATACTAAGTGACATATAAATCCGAACACCCAGTTTAAATGGTTTTATTTTAATAAAAGTTGGTGAATGTATTTATCTTACTGTAAATAACAGGTGAACAAATTTTCAGCCTTATCAGTTGGACATTCCGGTTTTTATACTGCTTTTTTTTAATTCACTAACGCTCTAAAAATGAATATTTCAGCCGCAGTAAAGAATCAACGTTGGCGGATTTTGGTTCTTGACATCCTTTACGATGGGTTACGATGCCTAGAGTACGGAGACCTGTACGATTTCGTCAACTTAGTGAGTTTGATAGGGGCCGTATAGTGGAACTTCGGGAAGCTGGACTTTCTTTTCGGGCAATTGCAGTTAGAGTGCAAAGAAGTGTAGACACTGTGGTTAGGTGTTGTCAGGCATGGCTTCGAGAAGGCCGTACGCAAAGAGCAAGAGACACTGGACGCCGCCGTAGAACAACAGACCGTGAAGATCGCCGCCTAAGATTATTGGCCTTAAGGGACCGTTTCTCCACTACCAGGTCCATTGCAAATGAATGGTTTGCAGAACACGGAAGACCTATTGGCATGCGAAGTGTTTACCGACGAATGAGAAGTTATGGCTTGTTTTCATACCGGCCACACTGGGTCCTTCCCTTTAACTCGAGAACACCGACGTAATCGCCTTGAGTGGTGCAGACAACGGTCACTCTGGGATCAGGAATGGAACAGTATTGTCTTTAGTGACGAGTCTCGATTTTGTTTAGGCATGCACGATGGTCGTGCCAGGGTTAGAAGGCGACGTGGTGAAAGGAGGAATCCACAGTTTTTTGTTGAAAGACATGTTCATCACACTGTTGGAGTTATGGTTTGGGGTGCTATAGCTTATGGTTCCAGGTCACCTTTAATCTTCATCAGAGGTAACATGAACGCGCAGCGTTATATCCACGAAGTTCTAGAACCCCATCTTTTACCCTATCTTGACACCCTGGCAGATCCAACTTTCCAACAAGATAATGCCCGACCACATGTTGCAAGAGTCACAATAGACTTCTTTCAACATAATGATGTCACATTGTTACCATGCCCACCAAGATCTCCCGACATATCCCCAATTGAACACGTGTGGGATATGATGGGTAGGAGATTGCTCAATTTGCAACGTGCTCCTCAGACTCTAGAAGCACTTCGAGAGGAGTTGGTGGTTGCCTGGAATGAGATACCACAGGAGGACATTGACCACCTGATCAGAAGCATGCCTAGGCGCGTTGGAGAATGCGTAGCACATCAGGGTGCATCCACACATTATTAAAGGTCAAAGGGCTTTAAAGCAGTGCAATCATTTTGAAATTTTTATCATTTACTTATTATGCTTCATTAAGTACTTATACAAAATTTTATTAAAATAAAACCATTTAAACTGGGTGTTCGGATTTATATGTCACTTAGTATATATATAAATAAATCTGAAACAAACAAATACATATTATTATGAAACATTTTTTTCTTGAGTATGCCGTGAAATTATAACATAATCATTTAATTCATAGAATATCAAAGATGATAACATGTTACGCATTGATATAAAACTTCAAGTGCCTAAATTCATCAATAGTTGGCTTAAACTCATCGAATGTGGAATATAATGTAACTCATTTATATTATTTAAGGGGAATCACATGAAGACATCCAAAACGGTATAATTTTGAAGTACTGAGAGCTGAAACGTCAAATCGAAACTCTAATTATGCCACCGTGTAGAATAAAAGAAGTATTGTGTAATATAGCGCTTCAATTTTAAGATGGTAAAATATGACTTGGTGTAAGTAAGCTTGTAATCTATAATTATCCCCAAAGTATTTAAGTTAAAATATCTGCATCACCTTCATAGCATATAGCTTATCTCCTTCAGCGACATGCTTGCACAGCACCACCTTTCCAAATGAACCTGTACCTAGAATCTTCAAAATATTGAAATCTTGTATATTGCCTTGTATAACCATGTCATTTTTTATATGATTTTCGAACTCCTTCTTAGACTTGCGTAAAAAATGATCAAAGGTTTGGTAGTGCTTGTGTAAATCACCCATCTTCTGTCACTGTGACATTGATTGCCTATTCCATCTTGAGTGAAGGTACATAGTCTCCATCTTCGAGATACGCCATACCACTTTAGATGGGCACAAGTTCATTTGAGGGTACCTCAATGAAGTGACCCTCAAGCGTTTCTTAAGGTGGCTACAGACACAAGTGCAAGCTTGTCCAGCATGCTTGTTCAATGTTTTTGTACAAGCTCGCTTGAATGTCTGTAGGGAAATGTGGTGCAAGCTTTGTAATTGTACAAGCAGCTTGAGGATTGAATTGATTTTAATTATGCATGCTTGAATTAGGCGCGCTTGCGCAAGCAAAACAGTACGTGTGTACCCAAGATTTTCAAGCATGCACAGGTTGGGGTCCGTTGATTATTATTATTATTATTATGATAATTGAGATGAGTAGAGTACACAGTACTATAAGCTCATGCAGTAAATATAGTGTACGGACACGTAACAGAAATACATCAAATAGAAAAAATAAAAAAGACAGTTCATAGCTATAAAGTTTGTACACTCCTCCAGCTATCATACTGCACTTTGAAGCTATTAACTGAAGTAGCACCAACCACACTTTCAGGTAAACTATTCCAGGTGTTGAATATGCGGTTGGGAAGAAACCACTGTCGGACTGTTGTTTTAAATGGCTCCTTATGCAGTTTGAAGTTGTGTCCGCGTAGATGATCGTATCCTGCTTTTGAATCAAAGGTGATACAAGAGACAAGGCTTTAATACATCTCTTCATCCATTATAAGATAATTGTGCCAGTCACGCGGATATATTTTCAGCTCACTTAGTAAGTAAATGTGAGAATAGGTTTTCCCTTTTATCAACCATTCTTTACACCACACCGCACGGTTTTTTATTCGGGATTTTCTTTTCTTCACAAGAACAAAAGCGGCCAAAGCGAGCGAATCATCGTCGGACTTCGACATATTTAATTAAACTACCTCTAATAAGCATGCTGGACAAGCTTGCAGTTGTGTTTGTATAGTCAACGCCAAACAAAGTGGCGTGCACGTCATCACGATAAAAATTCCCCGACCTAATGCCTAGGTTTCTATCACAAACAATTGCTCTATTGCAGTTTCATATTAATGTGATATATAAATTGTAAAATGGTCATTACTCTCTTATTATGGTTAATAGTCATATAAACATTGTTATTAAAATATCACATAAGTTGCTTTCTGATAAATTTAGACGCATTATGCGAAATAAAATGTTTTGCAAACGCTCCAATCACTTATCGACATGTAAACGCACTAAACCGATTTCGCAGCGTTGACACATTGTCACTTTGAAACTTATTTAAACTGGGAACTGACATTTGTATTAATTCTGACACTGAATCAATTTGTGGCATTTCAAATCTTTATAAATCCTTTGGCCCCGCATACTGTAAATCAACAACTGTTTGTTTCAAAACAAAATTATTCATTTTACGAGTAGATAAAGGCAATTTTGGTATATAAAGATGCCCAAACAGTTAAATAGTCGGTGTAAGGAACTCGTGGCCTCGTTAATGCACTACTTTGAGCAAGAAAGGGACAACAACGGGCCTTTGTTGCCTTTAAATGCTGTTCAAGAGGTAGGTTACTAATAATTATATGTAATGTATATTAATAATAGTGAAATTTTATTTCATTTTTTGTAGCGTGTTGCTGCTGCTTTAAAAATTAGTTTAAGGATAGTTAGTCGTATTTCCAAGGGTGTGAAAAGTGATGCAAATTTAGAATCGCCCAAGAAAAAGCGGAGTTATATTAAACGTGTAACCAACACAGCGACATTGGATACAAGTGCCATTCGAGAAGTGATCTATAATATGTATCACAAAAGTAAGATCTTATTATAATAACTTATCAGAAATTTGCATTAATTTGTTAACTAAATTATAATGTCATATTACACATGGTTTGAGAAGAACAAGTTACGATACAAACTTTATGGTCTCGATTAAGAGATAGGGCATTATTTGATGGTAGTGCCACGTCTTTAAGGCGGTTGCTTAGAGATCTTGGATTTAAGTGGCTTAAGGACAATCCGCGACGAGGGCTCATGGAACTACCAAGTATAGCTTTGAAAAGGGTGGAATTTCTAAGGCAATACAATCAAGCCAAGGTTGAGGCCTTATACCAGTTTGTCTTCCTCGATGAAACTTGGATATTTCAAAATGGGACCATAGGTCGCTCTTGGCAAAATGGAAACCAAAAAAGCGTGAAAGCTATTAAAACAGATGGTAAAAGGTATGTACTTTTACACAATTTGCACTATAAAATTTAAAACTAATATATTTTAGATACATTATATTACATGCTGGAAATGAAAATGGGTTTATTGAGGGTAGTGAAGCGATATTTTCTTCGAAAACAAAATTGAGCGATTACCATGGAGAGATGAACCAGGACAATTTTTTGAAATGGTTTCAACATCAGTTATTAGAAAAATTGGATATCCAAGACTGGTTGACAAATCAAAACATACCATTTTTAAACACAATGTTTAAAACAGAGCTATTGAGTATTGTTGCTCGGTACATAATGCTTCTTAATTATATATATTTTGGTCGACAGTTTATATTTCTTTTGTTTATTCCTATTCTTAAAATAACTGCTTTTTTAGAAACAAACCACCTAAAATATACGTGATTGATGAATTGGCGGAACAACATGGGCACAAAGTTCTTCGTCTGCCTCCTTACCATTGTATATTTAACCCTATTGAGTTAATTTGGGGCATAGCAAAAGGTTACTATAACAGACATATTGGTAGAGATGGTAACAGTGAAAAAGACTGTTTGGATATGTGGAACGAGGCTCTACAAACGGTTACCCCAGACATGTGGAAAAATAGTGTTCGACATACTGAGCAAGAAATTTTTAAATGGTATGAAAGAGAACGAATTTTTGATCGACCAGACATCGAACCTTTAATAATCAACTTTGAGAGTGATGAAGATTCAGATTCAGACAGCGCTGAAGAAAGAAACTCCGACTAACTTTATTGTACAGAAAAAGCTTACACCAGTAGCTTACCTAATTTTAGAATGCATTTTTCTGTATGAATTCTGTAAAATAAATACCATGCATAAAATTTGGAGGACCCCATTTGGATTTTTATTCAGTACCTTTAAGCTATCAATTAAATATGGTAGTTTCATAGTGTCATCTGATCAATAATTGTCATACTTAATGATTATGCAAGTACAGATCTATAATTTTATTATACTATTATTTTTGTTCTCATTTGAGGTTAATATTGCTTATAAACCTAGATATGTAAATAATAAATTTTATTATTTTACAAAAAGTTTGGCAACAATGTAAATTTTTCAACACACCCACCTTGATGACGTGCACGCCACTTTGTTTGGCGTTGACTATAGCCACCTTTAATGTACTCGAAATTAGCAACGTCATGATCTGACAAATTCAAATCAAATTTCCATTAACTTATTTGATGGTTGTGGTTTTGGCATTTGATCGAAATGACTGAAGAACGAAAACACTATTAAGAGGGTGAAAAATTTCTATTATGCAGTCTAAATAAAGAAGACAAAGACATTATCGATAATGTTGAAGTTTGCATAAAAGAAGCTACAGTCAAGACAACAATTTATAAAAGGAGAAATCCGACACCTTGGTTCTCGTAGACGTTCAAGGATTCTAAATTAAAAAAAACTACAATTATAAAAAGTTTATGATTACTGGAAGTGAAAATGATTGGCTAGAATACACAAGATCAAGAAACCAATCTGTAGCAGTTGTACGAGATGAAAAGAAAAAATATTACAATGCCAAAATTGATCAGAGTAAAAATAGTAGCAAACATATGTGGAAAACGTTGAAAAACATTCATATTACAAAAAGTACATTATCTAAAATAAAATTCGACGATGGGGTAATAACAAATGAAGAAATAATAGCAGATCGAATGAATACCTAGTTCATAAAAAGTGTCAACGACATTGTAAAATCAATTATTGACGGGGATCCAACCAATGTCCCATTAGCTCAGATTATAATGCATCATTCAGAGTGAACAATAAACATTAATCGTCTCAAGAAGATTATATCAAAAAATTAAATCAAATCGAAATAAGATTGAGATTTTGTTTAAAAGTGTGCTTGATGAATGTTTTGGTATTATTGGAACAAGAATATTAATCCTGTTAAATTACTGTTTAAAACATGGCGAATTTCCGACAAAACTGAAGCGCTCTACCACAACTCCTGTTTCTGAAGTTAAGAATTCTGAGTTGTACACCAATATGCGGCCAATAAATGTTCTGCCAGATGTTGAAAAAATTTTTGAAGAAATTATTTACAGATCATCGAATTTATTTATTCGGGAAATAACATTTTTACCAAATTTCAAGCTGGATTCAGGAAGAAACACTCAACTGAAATGGCAACACAAATGGTTTTAGAGGACTGGAGGAGATGTATGGACTTCAAAAGGGCGTTCAGAATTCTACAAAACTATTTAATTGACAGAAGTCAAAAAACCAAAATTGGATCTACATATCAAGATCAAAAAATATTTTTGTTGGTATACCACAAGGTAGTAAACTAGGTCCACTACTATTTATTTTCACAACTTCAGATATACTAAGTGACATATAAATCCAAACACCCAGTTTAAATGGCTTTATTTTAATAAAATTTTGTATAAGTACTTAATGAAGCATAATAAGTAAATTTCAAAATGATTGCACTGCTTTAAAGCCCTTTGACCTTTAATAATGTGTGGATGCACCCTGATGTGCTACGCATTCTCCAACGCGCCTAGGCATGCGGCATGCTTCTGATCAGGTGGTCAATGTCCTCCTGTGGTATCTCATTCCAGGCAACCACCAACTCCTCTCGAAGTGCTTCTAGAGTCTGAGGAGGACGTTGCAAATTGAGCAATCTCCTAACCATAATATCCCACACGTGCTCAATTGGGGATAAGTCGGGAGATCTTGGTGGCCATGGTAACAATGTGACATCATTATGTTGAAAGAA